ATCCGGTGGTCCTTCCAGACTCGGGGCACAATAGTTACATCGAACTTTTAGTCTTATGGTATCAGTAGGTAAGGGTCATATTCGCCAGTTCTCTCCCTGGCCATGTGCTTCCTCGGATCATCTGCAACCGACGGCATTCGATTCTCGCCCCTATCTACCCCGCGTCGAAGGGCGAGTTTCTGAGACCCGACACGAATTTTTCCTCCTTGGTACAAAACGTGGAACTGCATCGCCGAATCTATATTCACAAATCATCGGCAGCGCTAATAACGCCGTCACGTACAAAAGAAGGCAATTGCAAGGCTGTAAACGAACGTTGCTCACCGGGAAAAGGAATGAGAAACGTTTAGAAAAAGCAAGTGTGTGTTAACCCTTGGCAGGTAGGCGGGTGCATTACAGTCATAAATCCACACTTGGTACCCTCCAAGACACATACCCAACCTCGAGACTGCCCAAGAGAAAGCATTTTGGTACCTACCGAGATACGAATGTACACGTTAGGTTATATATTTTCAGTTAGACTCGGTTCGCTTGTGTTGTGGAGTGTTCTCGCTTTCCTGTTGCTTGAGGGATAATTATTAGCATCTGTCCGCGGCGAAGTCGAAGTCATCCCTCGGGTATTTCCTACGAGTTACTGAAAAAACTGATATTTAAATGCTTACAATCAAAGGCCTTATCAGCCCCAACTACCACAGTTCAAATGAATCACATTCTCCCATAAACGTACCCGAATTGTTGAAACAAAAGAATAACTCTTTAATATCAATAACAACACGCAATCCCAAATTCCCTGTAAATAAAGAAAAAATAAAATCCTCACACTTCCCCACAGCAATAATAAATTTCGGCAAATAGGATACAGAATAAAGGAAGGAAAAAATCCGCAGCATTGGCAACCGGAGCGTGTCTCTCTCTCCCCTGGCGAGAAACAGCTGCTGCGGGACCAGACCTTCGCCCTCCGAGTCCCCAGCGAGGTCAGTGTGTGTGTGGGAGCTGAGGAGAGTGGATGTACAGCCCTCGCTCTCTGCGCATCGTGACTTGACTCCAAAATCTTGAGCCGCTGACTTCTGAGGATTATTACGTGAGACTTATATGAAAGTGCTGCAAGTCGGAAAGGGATTAGTGAATGGTGACTTTTGTTGATCGAGAAGAGAGTGGAGTGTTCTTTGGTTGAGGATTTTGTTACGATTGGATTATTTTGTCGCTGAGAGAGCAAATAACATGTTGTGAAGTTGGACATTGACACCGGCTCCACGACCAAGCCTTTTGCTCTCCCAAGTCTTGGTTTAAGTGACACTCGCAACACAAGGAGGAAAATGGAGGAGTTGTACTGTGCTGAAGTGCCTGCATGCTCAGAGGGGCCGATTGCGCTGCAGGACCCCGTGTTACTGCACGACAGTCGCGTGTTGACCAACCTGTTGCAGCTGCAGCCCTTCACCATGCCGGCACAGAACTACTTCAAACACATCCAGAGTGACATCCAGCCGTACATGCGAAAGGTCGTCACCAGATGGATGTTGGATGTAAGTATGAGTGAACTTATAGCACGATTTGAATTTGAAACGGTTAAGGAAATTTCGGAGTTGCCTCTTGGTATCGAACGCGCTTTCCCTCGCGTCCAAACCACGTGTTGCTCTTGTTGCTGTGATGTTTACGCGAATAAAACTTTTAATATGATTGTCTCGGTGTAATCGTTAGGGCCATTACCTATTGCTATTTTTGTGTGTGCTTTGATAACCGACTTTAACGACGTCCTTGTTGCCACCTCTCTTTGTTAATAAATAGTTGTGTTTTTATTACACAGAGATTATCACTAACAGCGATTTACGATTAACTGACAGAAGGCATAACCAAGTTCAAGTACGTGTGGGCGGGTAGGCCTAAGAACTCAAGAATATCAGAAGGTGCCGAGATGACCTCAACGATTTTCTCAGCTGATATGAGCAAAAATGTGGAGTCTCGGCGCCAGCCAGCTGTCTGTACATGGCTGCAAAGTTAAGATAAGATTTCATGACTTAGATAATGGGTGATATTAAAGGCAGCTTTGTGAATCAACTTAATAATGAGATAGCCGGCATGATTGATTAATCGACTTTCCGTGTTTACAGTCACTGGGGGATGGGAGTTTGGGTTAACTTTTTAGAAAAACTAACGATGAAACTCCTTCAAGGTTGAGGAAATGCCTGTAACTTGACACGTGACACTTCATCCCTCACGCGGCCACTAGACGGGCCTCACACTGTGTCCCTCTGCCGTGTCCCCTCGGCGTGTCCGCAGGTCCTTTGACCGTGTCCGTGTGTTCCCTCCCCTTGCTCAGATGGCCCTAACTAAATCCACATGTTCAAAAAAATTCTTAACGCTTTTCTCGACCACATACGCGTTCGTCCTGGCTAGACAACAGGACATTCATCCCAGCCATGTTGCTCATCAACAGTTACCACGTCTTCGAGCCATCAACATGTTCCTTAACCTGCGGGGAGCCTCATAATGTAGGAGGGAGGGGTTAGGCTCGCCAGCACATTCTCCGCCGACTCTTGTAGGTAACAAACGGTCTCCCAGCAGCCGACCTCGCCTAAGTGTATATTCAGGACTTCCCAGATGGCCTTTGGGACCTTGTAGCAATTATCGACGAGGAGACTAGCCTGTCCTCGTATCTTAGCGAGGCAGGCGGGCACAGCGGGTCGTCCAACCTACATTAATTGTCCACCCACTGTCCTGACCACATCCTGCAGCTCTTGCTCGTTGGGCCTGCTAAAGAGATTTTGAAAGGAATAAAGGATTTCTGGCGTTAATGACAGGATGGAAATCGGCAGGGGCTTTGTGTCGGTTTGTTTACGGGTCAGGGAGCTGGTAATAAAGCCGAGGACTTGTTTGATTTAGGCTGCGTGTCTCGGGGAGGGCATGGCGGAGGGGTGGAGGGGTACTTCGGCTATTTCGAGAATGCAGCGGTGGTCGGTTGCTTATCATGTTAATGCGTCGGAGGATCTGAGATTCTTGAGGTCGGACTCCAGCAGGAAATCAGAAGCTCGTCGTCGGCAGTCCGGACTTCTATTCCTCCCTACCCCCTCCCCACCTCTCCCTCCCAACATGGTCCTCCTTGTTCCTCAATACACGTGACAACCGATATTTGTCAAAGTCGCGGCCATCGCATAGGCCTAGCATTACTTCAGGCCTACACACAATGCGGGGCTTCCTTCTCTTTCTGCGGCCACAACACGCTGTAGCTAAAAGAAACGGAACTGTTCGAATTTTATGGATTCATTTTGACCAGTCCAGTGAAAGGATCGTGTTTCCGCCAGCTAGCCGTTGGAGGGCAGAGATTGTTGCTGGGATAAAGGCGAGGCAGGACTTTATTTCGTGGGCGGAACTAATTATAAAATCTACAAATCTGCGAACGAGACGACACTCAAGGAAGGACCGGTTGATGCCTTACGTTATATCGTCTGTGTATTTCATCATTCGGAAGAAAACGTGTTCTTTTGCAAAGTCAAACATAGCAACCGAAATGATATTGGTAAACTTTTTGGAATAATATTTATTCAGTTTGCGTCTTCCAGGTCCTCCATTCTACCCATATGTCAGAGGGGCGAATCTATCTCTTCCGCCTCACTTAGAAAAATGCAGGTGGACGCCCTCATCTGTTTGGTCCGTGGGCGTCTAGAGCCCCTGTTTTACTCTTCAAGATCGTCTTCTTGACATACAGGCGCATTCCAATCCACTAGAATGCTCGGGAACTAGAAAATACCTCCTTAAACTTCCACTTTTTAAATGTCTCGAGAGATTTAGGTCAGCCGCGTCTTATAGGCTGCGGCCACTGCTTGAGGGTCGAGGGTCGTATCCCCACGGCGCAAGCACTCTGCGGTTTTGACACTTACCATCCGCGTACCGAAGGGCGAGAGAGCGTGGCGAGATGCATGTGTGACCGCTGTCCCAGGCCTATGGCAGGGACGCCCAGGCAGGGAGGGTTTCACGTGGGTTGGGCCTCGATACAGCGAACTTTTCTTTGTAGAGGGGCTAATGAGAACAATTATTTAGTATTAATTCGTTTTTTATAAGAGGGAGGATGGGGTTGAAGTGGCGGCGCTGACCTACTGAAGGAGGTTTTACTGATGGGTTCGCCATGAAGGTCCTATAGGAGCGAGAGGATTTCGTGTGGCTCACTAACTATGGGAATCCTTGAGCCCGAGATGGTGCCAAATGCCTTTTGGGATATTTCTTTGCATAATTTTAGGAGAAAGTCGAGCCCGGGCCGCGCATATTGAATAAATGCATCTTCTCATTCCGATGGTAGCAAGCTCGAAAAAAAACAACCAAACACATCAGGCTCCCCCTCCCTCCCCCCACCTAGATGAGAGAATAATCACTTTATGACCCCCCCACATCTAGTCCTCACGGGGACGCTGCTACAGTTACAGGACTCCTAAATTGCGGCTGTAACGCTTCCCTGTAGCCCGGTCCCTGTATACCGACCGTTTACTTGTACCCAAAGATTACTTACAGACTTCCGAATGCATTTTTGAGCCCCCCCCCCCATCCCCTCCCCGCGTCCGCCATCTTGGGTCGGGCGTAGAAAGTGGGAACAATGGTTTCGCTTCGTCGTCCTTAATAGATTTATTCGTTATATATCCTGTGTTGGGTTGTGTTTGATATCATGGGATTAAGATAGTAGATTTAACGTTGTTTAAAATTGGATCTTAAAAAAGTGTATTAGAACAGTTTCCAAAAATTTGGTATCTCCTGTTGCTTCCCTTCTCCGTTTTCAACTGTTCTTCCTCCTCCTCCAGGTGTGCGAGGAGCAGGCATGCGAGGACCAGGTCTTTGCTGTCGCGATCAACTTCCTCGACCGGTTCCTGTGTGCCTGCGTGGTACAGAGGACGCAACTCCAACTCCTGGGCGCCGTGTGCCTCCTGCTGGCGTCCAAACTCCGTCAGTGTCGCCCTCTGTCCATCGAGCTCCTCGCCTACTACACTGACTACTCCGTCGGCGTTCAGGAGATCAAGGTACGTCGGGAATTTTCTTATTGTAGCTCTCTCTCTTCTTTTTTATCGTTCTTCTTTTCCTTTTCCCTTTTGTACATAGATTATCGTGCGTTTTCGCGTCCTACTTCCATCCTCCATCACCGCAGGCTAGACGTCGGTTGGACTGCACGCAACGATCCATCAAAATTTCGGCGCGCGGGTGACGAACGCTTAAACGCTGCCTTCGTCCTCTTCCTGTTCCGCTCTCCTCGCTTCGTAACTAAGCCAAGGCGCTCGAATTCGACCCGGTTTGTCTCAGGGGCCTGGCTGACGACCTGCAGAAGGAGGAGGAAGAGGAGGAGGAAGAGGGGAAGGGAGGGAGGTTCAGCAGAGGGGCCGGGGGGAGGGGAGGGAGTTGGGGGAGATAGGCCTATGCGAAGATCCTGCCCTGGGAACTTCTAGCGAGATTTTGGGAAAGGAGCTTAACCATAGAACATTTTTTTTCTACTCCTCTTACTCTCTTTTTTTATCTTGTCTCTCCACTCATTCTTGACTTTTACTCTTTCGGTTTGTTATTCTAAAGTCTGAGTGTCATTTTTTGTGTGTCTCTTCCTTCTCTCTCTCTCTTTCTCCTTGAAAAAAGAGAGAAAAAAAGAAGATCGGGTCGATAAATGACTCGGAATCTCTTTTCACATTTCCCTTTCATCGTGTTCATCTGTCTCTCTCTTTTCTGTTTGTTATTTTACGTCAGAAATCCTTAGGAAATCCTCTTCACTTCACTTAACATCCGCTCTCTCTCTCTCTCTCTCTCTCTCTCTTCTCCTCTCTCTCTCTCTCTCTCTCTCTCTCTCTCTCTCTCTCTCTCTCTCTCTCTCTCTCTCTCTCTCTCTTTCTCTTTCTCTCTCTTTCTCTCTCTTTCTCTCTCTTCTCTCTCTTTCTCTCTCTCTCTCTCTCTCTCTCTCTCTCTCTCTCTCTCTCTCTCTCTCTCTCTCTCTCTCTCTCTCTCTCTCTCTCTCTCTCTCTCTCTCTTCTCTTTCTCTTTCTCTCGTGTGTGTGTGTCTTCTCAGGGATTGTGTTAGTAACATGAAGCGATGACGACGTGACACATGTCATTTGGAAGCAAGATGAGGTGGCGGGGCGAGAGGAAGGAGGTGGAGAGAGCTGTCAATCAAAAGCAACGTGTCATGTTCCCGGGCGTTGAATGTTCTCGAACCTGCTTTATCCCGGCGAACCTCATGGGAACATCTTTGGGGGATCGAAGCGGAGGTTCTCAAAAAAGGAAAAAAAGAAATCCCATCTCGTTGTATATCTGTGTATGTATAAAAAAATCCTCACGATATCCATTGAACGAAAGCAAAAGGGAATTTTTATTTTCCCTTTTTCTTTTCAACGTTTTTTTTATTTCTTTTTTTTTTTTGTTTTACTTTCGATTATAAATTCCTAGGTCTACTTTGCGGCTGGAAAGTGGTTTTGCGAGGCCGCGCTGTACGGTTTGCTTTGACCTGTGAGTGTAAACCGCCCGTGACCAGAGGGAGGGGCGGCCGGGGTGGAAGGGGTTGGGGCAGTGACCCCTGCGTGGAAGGGGGGACGTAAATATAGCAAGTGATGAACAAGGGGGAGCGGCGAGGGTGTCATATGGCACCCGACACCCTCATCAAGGGGGTTCCTCACTTAATGATACGTTATCGGCCTTACGTGTTACTTAGAAACGAGAGCGTTTGTGTTTCGTTTTCTTTTCTCTCTTCTCTTCTCTTCTCTTCTCTTCTCTTCTCTTCTCTTCTCTTCTCTTCTCTTCTCTTCTCTTCTCTTCTCTTCTCTTCTCTCTCTTCTCTTCTCTTCTCTTCTCTTCTCTCTCTTCTCTTCTTCTCTTCACACACACACACACACACACACACACACACACACACACACACACACAACACACACACACACACACACACACACACACACACACACACACACACACACACACACACCCCGGGGAGTTCCTTGACCCAGAACCAATCGGCGATGGCGGTTCTTAGCAACATTTGAATTAAGATCCTTCTTCGTAGGCCATAAAGACAGAAAATAAAAAAAGACTTTCCTAGCCCACCAGTGTGACAATAATAAAAAAGCAGCTAGGCCTACCGCTGCCATTTTTTGCGCGGCCGGCACTTTCATGGAGGCCTAAGAGAGGGGCAAAACAGTATTATCGGGCAGTAAAATCGGTTACTTTATGGCAGTTTAAGCGTTACCTTTTTGGGGGAGGGAGAGCGAGCAACAAGAAAGAGAAAGGAGAAAGAGGAAAGAGGAAGGAAAGGGTTTTGGGATGTCACGTTGCTCTTGAGTCTCGCTGTTTTATACTCGGATGATTTAGTTTTTGTAGTGTGTTTGTTTGTTTGTTTGTGTACTGTTATTTGAGGTTTGGTGACGGAGCAGAAGCTTGCGGTGGCTGGCTGATGTCCGCCGAGGGGCAATTAAGATGGATCAATTAGCATCTGCTTTTGACAATTACCGCGATCGAGGGCCGAGTGGCGTGACCGCAGGCCTAATTTTGACGCGACTCCGCCAACGGATGTGAGGGATTTGTGACCTCAGGGGCCTGCTGTTTTCACTCTCCCGGCGCGCCGTGGCTCCTCGCGGCTCGCAGGGAGGGAGCCACCAGCCCGGAGGGAGGAGGGAGGCTGCCTGCACCTTCAGGAGGCCGCGCGTTGGTCCTCTCCCGGCGCAGCGATGGAGGCATGCGGTCGGCGCGAGCACGTGCATCGGACCGCAGAAGTCAGCGATCTGTTGCTGAGGCACGTGCGCGGCGCCTAATTGCCGGGCTTATTGTCCGCCGCCGCCGCCATTGTTCGGCCCGGCGGCGGATTGGCATGTTTGCTAAATATGGCGAAGTTTCTCCCTTCCTGCAATTTCCATCCGTTGGAGGTTCCAAGTCCGTGAATGTCAAAACAAGTTAGTAGTTTGTTCTAATTTGGTAATTACAACGGGTGGGCCAGGCGGCCCCTGTGTCATCGATCGGGAGGGTGTATAACAATGCCAGTTGTTGCGCGCGCGCGCCCGCGAAATAACTCTGCATCGGGCGGCGGGATTGATTAATGATAAGCCGATCTGGCGGGGCCGGCACGCTCCCCACCTGGCCCAGGGGTCATTATGCTCAAAGATTCCCCTTTATTACTTTATTCGTTTACACCTCGGTAAGCCTCCGATCATTAACGATGTCATTTACCTAAAGCGAGCCACTGCTGTTCGAGAGGCCGGTGTTCGGGTCGGCTCACGTCGCGCGCGCGAAAGGACAGCTTTTTCGAATTTTGAACGAACAGAAAGTCCCGAGAGTCCGTTACGCCGCCATCGTGTCTCCCTCTCCAGAAGACCCGATTCTCACAAGACATTTTCCATCCACTTGTTTCCCCGCGCCCCCTGTGGAGCCAGGAAATACTCGCGGCTCGTATGACGCGCTAAGCATCGTTACCAACTTACCAGCTTTTAAACAGAGGGATCGGATTCCGCATGCTTCTCGCCGGCGGTAGCGTAACGAAGGGCACCTCGTCTGTCATGGAAGAAATAAGACATGCCACGCACCCCCCCCCCATTCCTTCCTCCCCCTCCCCCTCCCCCCTGTGCCTCGACGCGTTCCCAGGCGAGTCGGCCGATGGATACTCGAGCCGAGGGCGTCGGGGAATCCCCTTGCTCCGGCGGTGTGCCACGCGGGAGGAAAGGCTTTTGGAGGACGGGCATGGACGGGCCGCGAATCACGTGACCTCTTCGCGGCACGGAGACCGAAGGGAAGCGAGACAAGACCCGGAAACGCGAGGGCGTAAAATCTTGAAAACATGTGCCACGGAGGAGGAGGAGGATGCCCCTAGACTGGCACCGGGCGAGAGAATGCCTTAACTGCCAGCCGTAACTGACACTAGTGATTTCCGGCGCCCACACAACACCCCTGCCCCCCTCCCCCGGCCGAGCCCCTAACCTCCCTACGCCCACAAGTGTCGGCCGCGCCTATAACTTTCCGCGGACGTCGCCTCACGCACGCCCTCGGGAGACCTCTGCTGGGGCCGGCGACGAGAGATTTACACAGGCCAGCCGCTACTCCTCGAGGCTGTCTGCTGCCTTCCTCTCGCTCGATCTCTGTTTTCTGTTGTTTTTATTCGTTTGCTTTTGTTTTTCTTTTTCTTCTCATAGCTGGTATACTAAATTCATGTTCAGTGTCCTTTGATTCCTTTTTTTTCTTTTTATTCGGGTTAGTTTTCTTCCTTTTCTTGATTTCCTTCTGTTGCATCTATTCTATTTCCTTTTCCCCTTTTCTCTTACTCGTTCCTCTCTCCCCCTCTTTCTCCTCCTCCACCTCCTCTCTCCTCTTCCTCCTTCCTCCACCTCCACCTCCTCCCTCCCACCTCTACCTCCTTCACCTCCTCCCTCCTCCTCCTCGTCCCTCCGTACTTTCACGTACACGGCCAGCCCATCCTCCGAGGAACGTGTTTCCCACAAAAGGCATCCGTGAGAAAGCCCTTAAGACGCCGCCGAGGACACAGTACCCAGATAAAGCCCCGAAGCCCCACGAGAGAGTATGCCCATGCCCAATACCCAAGCTATGTTCACGCCTGCCCACACACGGCTTATGCCCACCAACCCACCCACGTCGGAGCATGGTGTGGCGGGAGGGGGAGAGAGAGAGAAAATGTGTCGTTTGCGTATAAGGAGATGGAGGAATTCGAATAATGGACGAAGGGAGTTAAAATGATGATGCGTGAAAATATAGATATTTTTTGTCTCGTTCTTTTTTCAATTTCTTGGATTTTTCCTTCCCTCTCTCTTATTGAGAATAAATTGGACCTTCCTTTTCTTTTTACTTTCCACTCGTTGATCACGTGACCGAATTGAAAGGGGGGAAGAGGGGGGAGGTGGGGGGTCGCCATCGCCGTTGCCGTGGCGATTGCGTCATCGTGTCACCTGAGGGAACGCCACATGACCGGAAGTTGCTCATTTATTGGCTCTCGGGTCGTTTAATGATCGCTAATTGGCTCTTCTCCGAGGTCTTTGGCGACGGTGGCGATTCG